TGCTTCAGGGGAAAAAAAATATCCAGACATCTTGAAATTACTCAGCACCCCACTATGAAAGGAAAATGCTGGTTAAGGAAGGGATTTTTTTTTTTTTTTTTTTTTTTTTTCCTTGTTGGCTTTTTTTTAAAAAAATTATTATTAAATATGGAACACCTACTCCGTTCTTAATTAAATTTAATGAGCCAAAATAAATTGTTGGATATGTTGAGAGAGGGAGAAGGGGTRTGGGCTGCTTTGGGACGAGAGGAGGTAAATAAAGCACAACGAAAGAGATGTTTTGGCGAAAAGTGGCCCCATCCCCAGCCTTTCTCCCCCCACAGTGTGTATTTTTCCTGAAGGGCTGAATTGGGGCGAGCTCCCTGTCCCGTCTCTTGTTCTTGGGTGGGAGGAGGCCGAGCATCCTTGCCAAACTGGGGGATGCAGGGGGCTGCGAGCAGAGCGGGTACCGAACCGGCACCTCTTGCCCTCGAGAAATTGGGGATGTGAGCGGCGGAGCGGGGAGGAGAGGGGCTTGCGGAAGGGGGAGAAGGGCCCTGGGTCGTGCCGCAGCCGTGTGGGGCAGCAAGCGTGCCCGGGACGGGCTGCGCGCCCCGTCGGGGGCTGGAGCTGGGGCCGGCTGCGCGCCCCGTCGGGGAAGGGGCTCAGCCAGGCCATGGAGAGCTCCGGGACCGGGTGGACAGGGACCCCCGGGCCTGGCCAAAGCCGCCGTGCCCCGGAGCGGCTTTTGGGGACGGGAGCGGGCGGTGCGAGGGTCGCCGTGCCCTGTGCGGCGCTCGCAAAGCGACGGGACGCGTGAAACCTCCGCGAAATGCCAGAGGCTCCCGGCACGGAAAGGGGGAAGGCGGGGGTCGCTGGGGGCTCCCAGATCCGCTGCTCCGGGCACCCACGGGTAACGCGGCTCTAAAGGCAGCGGCGGGGAGCGGATTTGGACAGCTCAGTGATCGGCCTGCAGGGGAACCTGAAAATCAACGAAATCACCCCCGGAGCGGGGCGGCAAGGACGGGGCCGGGGATGAACCCCTCCGGGGACGCCTCCCGGTCCCTCCTGCGGGGCTTGGGCGAGGCAGCAGCCCCTGGCCGTGCGCGGGGCCCGGGGGAGCAGCGGCGGACAGGAGCGGCCGCACCTGCCAAGCGTGCCGGGGGCGCGGCGGGGCCGGGGTGCGGGGGTCGCTATTGTCTCCCCGCCACCTGCGCGCCCTCCCGCAGGGGGAAATGCCGGAGCTGTTATTCTTCCTTTCACTCCTTCCCCTCAGTCTCCCGCTCTGGACGCGGCCGTGGGAGAGGTTTCCACCAGCTCCGGGCGCTCCCCCCGCGGCTGGGGCCGTGTCCCGGCCGGAGGAGCCCGCACGATGCCGGCAGGGTGCGTGGTGCGGCGGGGCAGGGACGGTCACGACGCGCCGGAGAGCCCGCCGTGCCTCCCGCCAGGAAACACGACCATTTTCGAGCCGGCTCCTCTCACCAACAGGAAGCGTTAAAGATAGAACAGCCGGGGCTGGGCGGGGGCGATTAGGAAGCCGAGCATCTTCTGAGCACCGAGGGCCGCTGCGGGGCCATTCCCAGCCCTGCCTGTGCCCGCTGCGGTGGGAGCCGTGGCCGTGCTCAACCCATCTCTACCCACACTTTTAACTCTTCTGAAAAGAGGGATCAAACCCTTCAGTCAGGTTGGGGAGCACGAAAACGATCCAGAGTAAAGCAGTCACTGATGCACCAGGCAGGCCCAGCACCTTTTCAGCTAGCACTATAAATATCTTCCTTTAATTAGAATAAAAAATAGCTAGAAACAATAGAAGA